GGTTCCCCGTGGAGCGGGGGGGGAAAGGGGCTGCCCACTTCCTGCAGGAAGTGGAGTGTCCCGAACCCAGCCTGCTCCGCCCCCCTGGCTCCCAGCCACGCCGCCGGCGAGTGCGGGGGGGGGCAGTTCCCCCCCCCAAAAAAAAGCCTGGGAGTCAAGGGAGCGGAGCAGGCTGGGGCTGGGTAACTCCACTTCCTGCAGGAAATAGCCAGCCGCCTCCCCTCCCCTCCCCCCTGCACAAACAAGGCAAGCCTGGGAGGGGAGAAGAATTAGAGCGGGGGTGGCGTGCTCAGGGGAGAAGGCGGAGTGGAGGTGAGCTGGGGCGGGGAGCGGTTCCCCTGCACACACACACACACACACACCCGTTACTTGCTGCGGGCAGCCTTCCCTGTGTCCCCCTGCCCCAGCTCACCTCCACTCCACCGCCTCCCCTGAGGAGCTCTTTTTGGTGCCCCCAACCACTTGGCGCCGTAGGCGGCCACCTAGTAGTTGCACCAGCCCTGTTCAAATCCTAAACTTCAATTATGTGAATCATATGTGACGGCATTAGGACAGAATCTTTTATTCCAATACACTGGTTAAAATCCAGCTTAGGCCAGTGATAACCAAAATTGTTTTCACCTGATAACTGGTTAGTGGCATTTATAAAATGGGCTTATTCCAGTTTCTGTCCTATGTGTGTTCACCCCTTCCATCAGCAACTCAACAAGAACTAATTAGCACCCTTTTTGGCAGTGTTTGAGAATCCAAAAACTAAACAGGCTTGGAGACCTAACCACCACCTCATCTGCAGGAAGTGGTCCCACCAAGGTCAGGGTTGATGCACCTTATGGGAAAGCTTGCATTAATATTGTCCACACTGAATAAACAGAACTTCAGTTTCTAATGCTTTCAATGTCACTTTAGCAAGCACTACCTTCATTTAAAATAAATTAATTCATTCTCCAGTGTACGGTGTGTTGGTACATGTTTACATATATACCTACCTCAAGCTCATCAAGTGCACTTCCTAGCATAGCTGAATGAGACGTAGGATGAACCCTTTGATTACTAATTCCTTGAGAAGCATTAGAAATGACATTGAGAGCGCTCTGTATTTCATTGCAAATTGAGTCCTTGCTGGCTATAAGAGATGCAACATCTGAATGTTCCAAACAAGCTGAACAAATTGAATGTAGAAGAGACGAATTTTCCTTCAGAGAAGCACGTGCTGCTGCAATTTCATCTCGTTGATTGCTAGATTTCAAATCCTGCCAGGAAAAGAAGAGTTTTTAAAGCACACTAAAATTGACAAGTAATGTAAAACCAAATTAGTCCATTCTCTACTATATTTGCTAAAGGAAACAGTGAATTAAATTTCAACAAAGATTGATTTACTATAACTTTCTTTTGCAGCACTTTATTACTTATTTTTAAAATAAGATGAAATTTAGATGAAAGCAGAAATTAAACTGAGGGAAAGGAAGAGGGACAGGAAAAAAAACAGGATTTTTAGAATAGTTGAAGCCCCTGCTTCCAGCCTCGGTTCCTTCAAACTGTGGGCAGAAGAGTGAACTGAAAGACAGAAGAATGAGTGGGAAAATGAGAAGGAAGTTGCTGACAGCCTGAAATTCAATTGACGTCAATAAGGACCTGTCACAGGGTGGCTGGCCCCATAAACTGAAGGAGGTCCAGTGTCCCTGTGCCAGAACAAGTGCTCCCAGTTGGGCTAATTTAGGGGACGGGGCTGCACCTGGAGCTATAAGGGGTCAAAGAGTGACCGAGTGAGAGACAAAGCTACAGAACACAAAAAAGCAGGACCCTCAGACTCCCCTGGGAGGGGAGGCAGCAAAAGTCTGAGATGTAAAAGGAGAGCTGAGGAACTGTTTAAGTTTGGACAATAAAACTGCCTAAAAAAGACTGTGGGGGCAGCAGAGAGTCCTTGGCAAGCTGAGGAGAAGCCCTGCCTCATGACAGAGCCCTTCCATTGGCATTGCATCTAAATGTATTATCTTAAAAAAAAAAATGCAGTAGCCACTTCATTCCTCATCAGATGATGGCTGGAAAATGGCACTTTCAGTATTGAATAAACAGGGCCCTTGTTCCAGCCTATGTTTTTGTGGAGGCCTGGGGGATCACCAAACCAGATCTTGCTTCCTCAGGATATTTTGGAAGACTCAGGGGCAAAGCAACAGAGAGGGAGCCTTAAACAGAGCAGATCACTGCTTCCCTCACTGATCATTTGCTTAGGATAAATTGAACTAATGTGTAATATGTCTTTTTAATCATCAGTAAGCCATTGTATAAATTAAATCCCACATTACAGAGGTGGGTTCTTTCATACAACATAATCCCACCCTAGCATTCATCTGCACCTTGTTGTGTCTTAGCAAGGTATCTGGTGACTATGCAGCCAAGAATATTATTTTATTTTTATATATATAAATAAATAAAACAAGCATTATGAAAAGGATTGGAAAGCAAAGGCTCTGACTCTGTAGGTATCCAATAAAGTTACTAAGGACTTGTCTACACTTGGCATATTATATAAATACATATGGCCCCTCTACTCTTCATGTCAAACCCAGTAAGCAGGCAACTTATATTTGACTCAGGGGCAGTACATCAGCTCTCTGAGGAAGCATCACCTTCTGGAACTAAACATCCAAGAACATGAAGCTCTAGGGATAGCACAGATATTTTTATGCTTTTATAGTGAGCTGTGTTATCACAGCCACCTATATGCAAATTTATTTAGAAATGCTCCAAGTTTCTAGATATTCATCCATTCCACAATTAAATTCCTTGATCGTCAGTTCTAGCCTCTATCAACCCATTCCATATCCCAATTATTCTCTGAACTAAAAATCTCTTCTCAACATCCACTCCCCACAGCTGGGATACATGCAGGGACCTGGGCATTGCAATGCTCAGTGTTGTGGCACCTAGAAATCTCAGGACTAACACTGATCCACAAAGCCTGAGTTAGGTGCATAGGCTCCCAATACAATGAAAGAGGAGAGACAGGTACATAAGAATGCAGTCCACAAAGCCAGCACACTAGGACTGGAAGCCTAAGCTAGCCAATAGGAGACGCTGACCAGAATGGGTGTGTTGTAAACTCTATTCCTCTCTCAGATATAGATACCTAAGTCTGGGTTACATGAAAGCACCTTGCTCTGCTAGAGATCCACAAACTGGGGGAAATCAGTGCGCAGCCGCCTAAGTTGCATGCAAGACCTGAAACAAACCAACTGGGGGACCTTCCTTAAACCTTAAGCCTATTGGATAAGGTACTCACCCAGAATGTGGGAGATCCCAATTCATGTCCCCCCGAAGGATCTGAAGAGGGATCTGCTACCTCTCAGGTGAGTGCCCTAAACACTAGACTATTGAATCATTCTAACTCTTTCTCTGGTCCAATTAATTTTTAAGTATCCCATTGTTTAATTAAAGTGGAAAAAGTTCAATAAAAGAGATTGAGGGAGCCCCATGTCAGACTATTCCATAGCCTAGTGGCCACGGCACTCACCTGAGAGGTGGCAGATCCCCATTCAAATCCCTTCTCCCCTGGAAGAGAGGGGGACCTGAAATGGGCGTCTCCCACATCCTGATTGAGCATAAAGGTTATAAGAGAGGTCCTCCTCCCTCTGATGATTTTGTGTGAACTTGCCTGAGTGATTCAATTCAGTAGGCATGCTCAGGGGCACCTACTGGAATTAACCCTATACACACACACAACTTAGGCTGCCAAACATGAATTTCTCTGAGGCTTAGGCATCCAGACACCCATCATGAGGCATGCTCAGGAAAGAGATATGTCCCTGGGCACCCACATGCCCAGAGGTTTAGGCACCTATAGGTTAGGACGCAGACGAGCGAGAGTTTTATGGATCATGGTGATACCTAAACACAGGACTTAGGTGCCCCCAAAATGGGACAGAGGCACCCAAGTACTTTTGTGGATTCAAAGCCTAAGTCTCCTTATGTTTAGTCCTTGCCCATAAATTTTACTAAGGTAAACAAAGTTCATTCACAGATTGCTGTGTGGTTGCCACATAAATATATTTGTATGTTACTTCTGAATGTTCTCCTCTTTTTGAACTTAGCTATATACAGCTTCTTCAGCCTTTTCCACATGTCACCCCCAAAACAAAGTTAGGGTCTAAGATTTTAATTTCCTTTATGAAGCAAATTCAAAGTCTCCATAACATTTCAAATGAAGTATTTTCTAATTCAGTCATTGTCTCCGAGTTAAATGCAGTTGCCTTAGTTATATATCTTAGAACATCATTTGCTTTTTTACATAATGCATTCATTGTGACTCCATCATCACTGACTTTTTCCTTTATGTCCCTTTCTTATTTTTTTCCTGCAGTTGTACTCTATTAAATATATATTCTCTTTCATTAAGTCTATATGCATGCTTGAGACATAGAATACCCTTTGTCACTTGCCCACTTCCCTAATTATTATAATATGCTGCTTCCTCAGGAAGTATTCACTTGCTTCCTATCTTAATATTATCAATGAATTTTTATCACTCTAAAACTTTAATAATCTTTAAGACCATTTATGTAATATTAAATAAAATTAGTCTCTGCAATGAGTTTTGGAGGACACAACTCAGAACCTCCCTCTAGTCACTCGGTAACACTGGATATAATCCTCTTCACTCTTGCTTCCATATAGCTTGTTATACAGGACTCAGATTTTAGTATTAATGCCTAAATATTTTACCTTTCATTATTATTTTTGTTACAGTAGCACCTAGGTATTCCAACTGAGACCAGTACACTATACAAAAACAAAATGAGAGACAGTCCTTACTCCAAGGTACATTTTTAAAGGTATTTAGGCATCTAAAGATGGAGATTGGCTCTTCTGAAAGTCCCATTAGGTGGCTATCTCCATCCTTAGATGCCAAAATACCTTTAAAAATCTGGCCCTTACAGTGTAAGCAGATAAGACAGACATAGGTGGGAAGGGAAACAGGGGCACGGAGACAGAACCGACTTGTCCAAGCAGATCAGAGGCATAACTGGGATTGGAGCTCAGGTCTTGTCTCTCCCAGTCAAATATTTTATCCACTTGATCAAGCTGACCCCACCCTCTAAAATGTGAGGGGAGTCTCCAGATGTAGAACTCTCAACATGATTATTATAGAGGGAAAAAGTGAATGGAGAGATAAATCCAGAATTTGCAATTTAAAAATTAATTTTGCTTTACACTGGTATTTTTTTAACCCACAGATTAAAATTATATTAATAGTTTTCTCTTGTTGACTAATATATGCTGGCTAACACGTGCACACACACACACACACACACACACAAACACTCATTAAGCACCAACGATATTAAGCACAAATATGGTAACAATGATATAGCCTAAACTGGCCTATACCATAATCCTGTTCACTTATGTTAAGTAACCCATGACACCTTACATTTATGGAAGTAAACATTTGGCATAAGCAGACAGGAAACTTGTCAAAATCAAGATACTTTCATTTCACGTCTTAGTACAACCTAGGGACGTACCTTCATGGAACGCTAATATGAACAGAACAACAAGTTAGGAAACTGGACCAAACTGATGGGTTGGATTTTAGTGACATGTAAAGAGATGTGTAACTTGTAAAATCATCATATAAATAAAGTAGTAATATTTGCAAATTAATTTGGATACTGTTTTAAAAGTCAACATTTTGACAAAGTCACCTGCAACTATCTTTAAAGAATTACCAAATACTCACATCTCTCTGAACTAGGAAAGACTAGATTACAACATGACCTATAGGGTCTGGAAGACAGAGCCTCTCAATTAAAATAAAAAAAAATTATAAAACCTGCCTGTTCCTTGTCAGCATCCCACTCCTAAACTTTTTCAGGTTTCATGGAATTTTTGCTGCTCTACTTTTGGAAAACAATGTTTTTCCTAATGATTTTGCATACTTAAGACTTAACCTACCTACTATGAAGAATCTCTCCTCTCTCCCAAGCTCTTCATTGACTTCTAGAATAAGGTGCAGATATTATACACAAGTACCAACCACACATTTAAACCCATCCAATATATAGAAGCCACATCCACACAGTTTTAAAAGTGTGAGAAACAATGTTCGAACAAAGATATGGCTATAACATTGTTTGCTTTCACTAACTGTGATACTGAAAACAAATCCACTTAAGTAAATCCTTACTCCTATGAAGAATCCCAATGAAGTCAAACAAAATTGTAGCAGATCTGTTTGCAATAACAGGACCAA